GAGAAGGGAAGGATGATGCGGAGATTTTTATGGTGGGAGATATTTATAGAGGGGACGGGGGTCAAACGTCTGGGACGTCTGGGAGGAAAAGTGCTTAGAAGAAGGGAGCGAAGAGCCTTCCTGTGGGCTTCTCATGCGGGCGAGTCCCGGGTCCGGCGAGCCCGAGGGGGAAGCCTGGCAACACCTTGCTTGCTTGGCTTTGTATGAGGGAACCCCCCCCCCCCCCCCCCCCCCATTTTTGTCATTTTCTTACCCCGCTCAAAGTTCTCCTCCCCAGGAGAAAAAAAGTCATTCCTGAAATGGTAGCTTCCATGAAGAGGCTCGGGTATTCATTTAGTCGATGGTACCTGGGGACCCTGGATACAAATTAAACTTACCACCTAATGTTTGTAAAATACTACTTAATTGTCATACTTGGTGACAGAGCATGAATTTAAGAATTTTAAAATTCAGTTGAGAAGGAGGCAGCAGGGAGAATGGGCCAGGTGGTCTCATGGTGTTCTTAGGGGTTAGCTTTTGCTTAAGTACTTACTTTGTATTAAAACGGGTTGTCTTTGACGTTCTTTCGATGCTCTTCGATTTTAAACAAGCATGTGTTTAACAGGCTATGAGATAAGGCTGGGGTCAATGAATTAAACTATTTTCGAAGGTCTGAATCCCGAAAGAAAGTTGTCAAAAGCGTATACATATAGACTTAGCTTAGACTCACATTAAAGGATCTGCAGTCACATACTCACAGGGGATTTAGCAGACACCCAGGAGGAAGGAATTAATTTCTGTCTCTTATTACAGTTAACCTATTAAGAGGGTGGTTCTTACTCAAGCCACACAGAGATTTTTACTGCTGATAAACATTGAAATTTAAATGTGTGAAACTCACAAGGAGTAAGTGTGAGGGATTCAGTTTGTGTAAAATGTGTTTTTGTTCCAGTATGTTGACTGTGTAGCATATGGCCAGTGCCCTGGGGATGATGATTAAAACAACTGAAGGAGATTGGATATCCTGTGACGCATTTGAAAAAGACTTAAGGGACTTGGTAACAAGCATTTATGATTTACGTTCTTTGTTTACTTGGCAACCAGCCATGAGGTTTTTGAAGAGACAGGAAAAGAACGGCGGTACAAATTTAATGCACCTTCATTTTCTTCTTAGAGTCACTTCAAACTGTGGCTTTTTCTCTTTTCAATTCTTGCATAATAGTACGATTTAATAACACCTAGTATGTTTGATTTTTTCATTTCATTTTTATCGATTATGCTGATCCTATCTGTTAGTTTTAAATTTGAGCTTTCACATGGGTGAAATTCATTGTAAATAAAGCACAGCTACCAAAGTCCTCAGGCAACTATTTGTTTACAAATTCAGAGCTATGTTTATTACAAAATTAAAGGAGAGCACTGGAGAGTTCCATAGAAATTTTATTCTAACAATTAGTTATGTAACCTAAACATCTTCATAAATAAATTCCAAGATCCCTGGTCTGAAAAGAAAGCAGATTATCCTAAGGCACTTGTGACTGTGAAAGACAGTATTGTTCCTATAAGTATTTTGGATCACAGTGAGTTTTAGTGTCTTCTAATCATCCATGGCACCCTTACTTTCAATTAGTAGATAGTTAGGCATAACAGTTGAGGTGAGTTAGCCTGTCTTGCGGCCAGCCAGTGGTAGATAAACTCACTCCAAAGCATTGGTTTGGTTTCCCTAGGTTACCTCAAAATATTATTGCTCTCAGCCTTTGCTTTACAAATTACTGAAACCTTACTTTGAGTTCTTTAAGTAAGTCCGTTCTGTATTCTTAGTTTAAAAGAAATAAGTATCTAGAAGGATTTGGAATCCAACTAATACATTGGAAATAGTTGTAATTACCCAGTTGAATAATTAGATTGAATGATTTGCGTTCATGTACCTAAAACTAACTTCGTCTTGAGAAGAAGGGTACCAATCAATACCAAACACTATGCTAAGGCAGGCGGACATTGAACTGAAACAGACCAGAAGTTGTTTTTTTTTTAAAATTTTTTTTTAATGTTTATTTATTTTTGAGACAGAGACAGACAGAGCGTGAACAGGGGAGGGGCAGAGAGAGAGGGAGACACAGAATCGGAAGCAGGCTCCAGGCTCTGAGCTGTCAGCACAGAGCCCGACGCGGGGCTCGAACTCACAGACTGTGAGATCATGACCTGAGCCGAAGTCGGACGCTTAACCGACGGAGCCACCCAGGCGCCCCCAGACCAGAAGTTTTTAAGTCTTGGATTTAAAAGGCCCCGATCACTTGTTTTCGATTAAGTTTATCATGATACTGTGCATTTCCTTTTAAATTCTCGTGCTTTTCATGAGTTGGCAGTTATTTGCTAAATTGCAGCTTATAAAAAGTTTAAAAGAAATCTTAGGGGTCCCCCAGCTCAACAGTTTTTGCTAAAGCTCCTTGTCATTGACAGGGAATGAAGCACTTCTAATAGGCTGCTCACTTCTCTTCAGGACAAGTTTGCAATGTAAATTCTGTTTTAAATTGCTGAAATATATCCCTGTTTCCAGCCCTTGACACTAGTTTCACTGTTTGAAGTTAGGCAAGTCCAGTCTTCCTCCAGCCAGCAGCCATTTGGATAATGTAAAGCACATGTCATGACTTTTGTGTTTTCTTTTCTTTAGGATAATATTCCTAAGGCATTCCTCAGGGTCTGGTTTTCAGGCATTACTCTCATGGCCTCCCTTCTTCCCTTCCTTCTCTTTTATGCCTCTTCCTCCTGGTTTGCTAGCCTCTGAATGTGTTCCAGCTTGTCTTTTGTCCTTTACAGTGCAGCCCAGGAAACTGGAGAGGGTGCTTCACGCTTCTGTGTGTCTCACCCATAGTCTCAGGCTTGCAGTTGATGTATATGTTGGGTGTCCCCATCATCCTTTTAACTCACTGGAACCTACTGTTCAGTAAAACCTATTAAAATGTTTTTCACACACAGTATTGAAAAGCCTCACCTCTTCACTTAGCTAGTGCTTGTGCAACTAGTGGGAAGGTGCTCTCCCACATGCTTTTTTGGGCACTGTTGGAAGGAAAATCATGTATATCTCATCTCCCTTTAGTAAAATTGGCACGAGGTTAGGTGATCGAGTCAAAGGTTCACAGATAGTAAAGTGAAGCCAGTGGCCGAAACGAAGCTTGTGGGTAGTTTATTAATTCAGACAAAATCTCTCTCATTTTAGATCCTAAAGAAATATGTTCTTGACATCGGTACTTTCTGCCTCCAGAAAGGGTTTTAGGCAACTTAGTCTTGCTACAGGCACAAGAGATGGCTCATAGGTATAGAAACAGGTATACAAACAGGGTCCCAGGTGTTTGGGACCCTGAAGATGAGATTTCTATAGTTCTTTTGAAACTGGACCTAAAATTCTAGTACATTTAGAGAGCACTGCTCTTTCTGTTTTTGTTTAATAGTGGAAAATGTGCAGATGATTGTTATATATTTCTACATTTATGACAATTAGATCTACATGAACAGTTTTCCCTCAACCCTGTTTTTTGAACAGATAATCGGACATCAGACTGACCCCTTTTCCCTCCTTCCAGATTCTTCTTCAGGAACACATTATGTTCAGGTCACCCTGGACAATTTCATGCACTTCCATGTTTGTTTGCTCTTTCTCGTGCTGTTCTCTTTGTCTGAAATAACTAGTAACCTCTTGTACTCAGTATTCAAAGCCCATCTCAGCTTTCCTTGGTATTTCTAATTTTAGACTGAGTTCATTGCTTTTTTATTCCGCCTTCCATAATTCTTTACTTTTTTATTTTTGTTTTTATCTACTTTTTTTTTTTTTTTTTTAAATTTCTGGGTTTTGTTTGTGTTTGTGTTCTGTACCATACCGGAAACACCTCAGGGGCATAGGTCTGTTTTATAATCTTTATGGGAATGTATATAGGAATATTGTAGGTGTTCAACAAAGTTTCATCAAAACTGTACATATATACACATATATATGGTATGTTCACATGCATATGCAGACACATAGGTGAAGATTTATTTGCTGCTTTTGTTTGAAAAATTATAGACAAAACTATATAGCAGGGCTAGGAACTGACCTCAATTTGTAGATAACTTGAGCTTTGTTCTCTTAAAAATGACTTAATTTATACACCATTTTCATAAACATTAACTTTCACCTGACCTATTTATTTATCACTGTTACTGGATAGTATTAGACATCACATTTGTTTTGCTTTTTTTTTTTTAATGAAAAATATATTTCATAGAGTTTAAAACAGTTTGACTTCTGTGGAAATTAACATCTACTGTCGTTGAAAATCAAATGTTACTTAATTGAAAGCTCTCAGATCACAAATTATAACCGTGCCCTATAAACTAGTAGAAGGATTAAAAAATTGAGGATAGGCAGTGATATTCAGGTTTCCTCCACATTTGAAAGTTTGCTTTACGCTTCTCTTTGACAAAAGACCTACATTTGTACCTGTTTTTGTTCACTGAATGAAATCTGAAGAGGATTTTTGCTTTTATGAAACTGTAATTGCTTCTTTGCTTTATGCCATGTTGGCTTTCCTTGGAATACTCTGCTTTCAGAGAGCTGAGGAAACCTGTATTTGTTTTCATTTGAACGTTAGACAACGTTAATGAGTATGACTTAAAAGCTGAGTCATCTGCTCTGACCTGGGCAAGGAGTTTTAACGATTGGCAGGGGATGTGGAAAATCCTTCTCTAAGCCTCAGATAGTCTTCTTATCCCCCTTTTTTTAGGCTCCTTGTAAGTGAGGGTTTCAGGAATTGGGTGGAGGGGGGTGGTTTTTAGAGTGGTACATCTAGAAAATGTCTGGCCATCGAAGGCCTCTCTTTCAGGGTATACAGATATATGTTTATTCTGAACGTTCCATGCTTTGTGTTTCTATGTGTTGGTTAGTCTATTACATTAATCTCCATACTCCACTCTACCCCTAAAGTGGACATAACATATACCTTATCTTTTTAAATCTTACAGCATTATTCTATAACAAACAGAAAATGGATGAAAATAAAGATGTGGACTCAAAAGAAAGTGGAGAATATGAAGATGACTTTGAAAAGGACCTGGAATGGTTAATTAATGAAAAAGAAAAAGGTGGTGCCAGCATAATAGAGGTATATATAAATTGCCAAAAGCATTCATAATAATTACATTAACAAAGTGCTTTGTAATTCTTCAAGAGTTTTGCATATACTATGTCATCTAAACCTCCCCAAATTCCTTTGATATATATAGAACAAGTATCATTATTTCTACCTTAGAGATGAGAAAATTGAGACATTAAGAGTTTATATGTTGTATCCTAAGGTGAGAGATGAGAGAACAGGGATTAAGTTAGCATTTAATAAAGTTTAAATTATAATTAAAAATAGGAGTGCCTGGGTGGCTCAGTCCATTGAGCTTCTGACTTCGGCTCAGGTCATGGTCTCACAGTTTGTGAGTTTGAGCCCCGCATCCGGCTCTGTGCTGACATCTCAGAGCCTAGAGCCTGCTAAAGATTCTGTGTCCCTCTGTCTCTGCCCCTCCCTCACTCATGCTCTGTCTCTCTCTCTCAAAAATAAGTAAACATTTAAAAAACTTAAATTATAATTAAAAATTATAATTTATATAATATAAATAAATATGATTTACTGCATCAAAAATAAAAACAAGTACAATTTCTACTTTATATAAACTTGGATAAAATCATGGGGTTATACTTTTAATATAAATGAAAATAAAGCAAATCCTCAAAAACATGGTCTTTTGGCTAACATTTGAAACCTTAAGACTGAATTAGCCCTTCAGGAGAATGTATATAGAGGAAAAGCGTAGAGAGTCAAAACTGAACCATAGGAATACCTTTAGGAAAAAGTGGACCCATTAAACATGATCATACAGGTAGGAGGGAAATCCAGGAAAATGAACCTGTTCCTGGATCATGGATGGATATATATATATATATATATATATATATATAGTGTGTATGTGTATCTATATGTAATTTGTGGGTACATGTTTATATATATTCATATATGTATATATTCATATGTATATATGTATGAAATTAACGTCAATAAATAGGTAATGAAGAAAAGATGTAAGACTGCTATAAGAATAGGTGACTTTAGAGGGACAACGACCTAAGTAATTGTGACAGAAGTCAGATTTAAGGTTAAGGGAAAGAATATGAGAAAAAGAAGACTGGCAGTTTTACATCACAGACTTCTCTTAGTTGCATTTTGCTTTCTTATGCAATGGAGAGGACAAATGGGATAATATTTGAAAAAGGCAACAGAGTGAAAAGTAAAGGTTTTTCTGAGATGGCCTTTAAGTGGGAGTTCGATGCATCTTTAACAGAAAAATAGTAAGATTGAGTAGAGGCAGAGATACCCCAGAGTGGTCAGTTTGAACCAAAGTCTCATGACTGGAGGGGTGTGAGATCCAAAGCACAGAGTGCTAGAATTAGAGAAGTGAAGATGATGCTTCATTGTTTCATTTCTTTCTTCATTCAGAAAATATTAATAATCACCCACCATGTATCCGAGGCTATTGTGGGTGCTGGGGAAATGGCAGCTTCAAAACAAAGGGCTCTCATCCATCTTCCTCATTTTTGTGGGTGATTATAATCACTTCCTCCTCTGAGGCTGGCAGGAAAAATGGATGACAGAGATAGAGACTGGGATGAGGGCTGGGGGGTGTGAAAAGTGACAGTTTTATTGCACTGAATTTTTTGGTTATTTTGGCTTCTTTTGCAGTGGGTTTTAAAAAATGAAAACCAAAGAATAATTAGGAAACAGATACTGTCAGAATGAACTAGAAAATCAAATACGGCTTAAAAAAAAACCAATTACAATGCAGAAATCTTAGTTTACTTGGTTGTTAGACATTTTAATGGGCCAGGTTTATTTGCTTATCAGACATCTGGCAACGCTGTGCGGGTTAGGAAGAGATGGCTATCAGAAAAGATGACCTTTAAGCATGTAAAAGCGGAAGGGGATTTTACGAGGTTGAAGAGAGCAGCAAGTAGTAATTCCCATAGAATTGTTTCAGGAGGGAGAGAATTGTCTGAGAAAAAGGAAAAAAATATCGTAGGGGAAAAGAGTTTCTGTTTGGTTGGTGAATATGCATGTATGTGGAAAAGATGTTAGATAAGAAGCCTTTAATTAGAAACAGGTGTAGAGCAGGGTTTTGTGATGTGATAATATTGATCTATGGTTCATGTGGAATTACGCTTTTTTAATATAAAACTGAATTTATGATGGTGTTTAGCATAGACTGTTGGAGCCTCAGAGGATAGTTGAGGAGGGAAAATGTCATCCGTAGATAAAAATTGACTGGAATTTGGATATGGATTCTGCAGAAAATGGCACCAATGATAATCTGAAAAGATTGTAAGAAGCTCAGAGTGATTAGAACTCAACTAAAGGCTGATATTGTAATGGTCCTGGGGAGAAAGATAGTTTTTTGAAGAATAGAAATATTATAAGGAGAAAACACTTAACAAAATTTTCTTCTGAAAATTTAAAGTGAGGAAGATTTTATAGAGGAACCATAGTAACATAATAATGTACTGTTTGTAGTTACCCTTTCATTAATTAGCATACAATTTTTGAAAATATTAACCTAGCCCCTAGCAACATCAAATTCAGATTTAGCATTAAATTTTTCCTAAAGTGCTATTGTCACATGTATTTCCCTTGGGATGCTCATAAATATGAATTCAAATATTATGAGCACAGTGTAAATAAGAAGCATGTAAATTTTCCCATTCATAAAATATATTGCATGATTATGAAACTTCATTTTGGATTATCTACATATAAATGGACAAAGAGTCTCAATTTTTACTGAAAAAGAGAACCTTATATATATTTTTTTAGATGGCTTGTGGAAATGAAGAGAATATTAACCGAGAATTAAAAGACCATGAAACAGAAACAGAACACACTGAACAGAATTCTGATCCTGACAAATCTTTGAAGGATGAAGTTTCACCAAGAAGAAATGACTTCATTTCTGTACCGAGTATTCAACCTTTGGATCCCATATCAGATTCAGATAGTGAAAACTCTTTCCAGGAATCCAAAGTAGAAAGCCAGAGAGCCCTGGAGGAGGAAGAGGATGAGGAAGTAAGGAGATATATTATGGAAAAAATTATACAAGCCAACAAGATTCTACAGAATCAAGAACCTGTGAATGATAAAAGGGAACGGAAGCTTAAGTTCAAAGACAAATTAGTTGATCTGGAAGTTCCTCCACTGGAAGACACTGATACTTACAAAAATTATGTTGAAAAAGAAAGTAGTATGTCTGGAAAACTCTCACAGTTATGTATTTCCAAGGAATTTGGACAAGAAAATGTGCTCGTGTCACTAACTGATGGAAATTGTGAAGAGAACAAGGATAGGAAAATTCTAGTCGAGAGAGATGGAAAGTTTGAACTTCTGAATTTACAAGACATTGAGAGTCCGGGGGTTTTGCCCCCCATTAATACTAATAGTACAGAAAACGAGCCTCACCAGTTGTCATCCAGATCTTCCAACTCAAATGTCAATGGTGTCAAGAAAGAAGAGCCGATAGCAAAGATTCATGCTGTTGCTCATTCATCAACAGAAGAGCCACTGGCTTATATCCCTCAGCCACCAGCCAACCCCAAGACTCGTCCAAGTTCTGCTGCCAACTCAGATCGAAGTAAGGGGAATGGGAAACCTAATCACAGGACACAGTCTGCAAATACACCTCCAGTGACCTCAACATATTGTCTTTCCTCTCGACAGAAAGAACTGCAAAAACAGCTAGAACAAAAGAGAGAAAAGCTAAAGAGAGAGGTGAGCACATAAGCGGGCATCATATTGAAAGCGGGATGTATTTTCATGTTTTATAAATGTAGTGGTACTTGAAATAGTTCCTCAAAGTATTGGGTAGATTTGCTTGCTTGTTTTGTTTTTCTATTGTTAGATTAAGTGGTTAAATATTAAGAGTGCAGATTATGGGGTAAACACCATGATTATCTTGGTCCTTTCTTGGAGGGATCACAGGGCCTAGTAATGAATGACTTGTGTTAGAGACCGAGGTCTCAGTGATGACATCATCTGATCCTTTCATTTTAAAGATGAGGCTCAGAGAAGTGGCTGCTGAGAGTAATTTTGATGTGAGCAGGTGAAAATCAGGTGTCCTGTGGAAAAATGAAGGCACAAATTTGTTGGGGTTTAGGAGGCAGCAGGTAGATTTGGATTATAATTCTCTGACTTATGTGTGTATGTGTTTTCACATATTCTTCCATGCCTATAATTCCTTGATTTCAGAAATTTTAGTTTTAGATGAATAGAGCCTAATAACCTTAACAAAGTATTTCCAAAATGCCATATGGAATCCAAGATGATGATGATGGTGATGGTGATGGTGGTTTTGTGCTGTCGATTAAGAAGAGGCTGTGAAGTAACCAAAGCATTTATTTGGGGTCTTAAGGATTGCAATCCAGGAGGCAGAGTGTCGACCTAAATCAAAAGTGTGCTCTGAATAGTGAGCTAGTGAGCTGGGAGTGCAGGCCTATAAAGGCAAAAAGCACAAGCTTACATAGCTTGTTTTGAAAGAATTATGATTGGTGATGGCAGAATTTAAGCTGACTAGCTAATACACATAGGCTGTTTAGCCAACAGGTTACAATTTCCATCCAAAGTACAAGAATGTGTCTCACCAGGTTGGTCAGGGTTGCAGTTGACAAGTTGCAATTGACAAAAATCGAAAGATCATGGTGGGCTGAGAATTGAAACAGGAGACTTGAAATAGGAGACAGTGCGTAGGCCCCACTTCCTCAATGTTCTTTCAACTCTATTTTCAGTGATTGTCTTAGCAATGCTTACTTCGTTTTGAATCTTCCTTCACATTTCCCCCTTCTGATCAAGATCTTTCTGGCAGAAAAACATCAGTGACAGATTTTTGTGATCATGTAGTCCTATTTCATTATTGGAGTGGTTGGCAACCTGCAACTTGCTCTGGGCCCCTCATGTCCCTTGGAGGGTGAAATCTCATAGTGGTTGTTACTTGATGTGTTCTATAAGCATGCGAGGTGAGGGTTTTCCAGCCACATCTGAGTAACAAGGAGGTTTGAGGAAATAAGACCTAGAAGTCAATTAGATTCTCCTTTCTTTCAGTCAAAGGGTACATCTGGTGAATAGTTTTGAGTCTTTGAACAAAGATTATCTGAGTTCTGACAGGATTTGAAACATTGGCTGTGAAAAGCATTGACAGTGGGATAATAATGAGTATAGAACAAATTAAAACAGTGATAAGATAACTTGTAGCCCAGGTCCCAATTCTGATCAGGAGTTAGCTAAAAATATCTGAGACTCTGAAATCTAACCAACCAGAGGTTTTAGAGGATGGGATTCCCCTTAGAGATTTAGCAAGCTTAAAAATCTTAGCAGTTTTGAATTCCAAGCGACGGGAAGTACCCATGTACAGCAAGAAGTGTTAGTGATGGCAGACTCTACCTTGGGTCCCAAGTAAATAACCTAATGCTATGCTATTATTGAGGACAACATGAGATAGAGTATCCAAAGACTTGCCCTGGCTCTAATAGCTCAGGCAGTGAACCTGGCAATTCTGCTGATGGTTCAAGAAAGATTTCCAATCATGTACTCATTCCAAGCCAGCAACTGAAGATCCTCCCAAATTGGGCCCCTTTACTGAAGTTCTTCTCTCCTGGGAGACCATAGCCTTGGGAACGCCCCCAACTGTTATCTTTTTATTTGGAGGGGTTGTCATCTGGATAATTATCTTCTTTCAGTTTTTTTTTAGCGGGGAGACTCCTTTTAGTTCTATGATTAGTTCCTGTATGGTTATCCTTTAGTAATTAACTTAAGGACAGAAGAAAGAGAAGTTAGATATCCCAGGTGGCATTGCTTTGCTATTCTCCAGCTGTCTAGGCAAGCAGATGTCCAAGATTGTCCCCTGTAAGTGCAGACGAATGTGTGTCCTGTAGGGGTGCAAAGCATCTCTGCTTAGAACTGGTTATGGACTCATTTATCGGTATAGAGGGCATGATAGGAGAAAACCGGGGATCTGTTTTATTTGAGCAGACGAAAGGAGGGTGGCTGTGTGTTTCACATCTTAGCTGAAAGAATCTTTTGTAAGAGGGGGGTCTTGCAGCTACGAGTGTCTGTTGGGGAACACTTGTTATTTGTGCCTTGGCATGTCTGCAAGAGCCAAATATAGGAGGCACTTTAGTGCTAAAGTGCCTGCTACAAGGATTGTTCCAAATATTTCATGGCCATGAGGCATTAGGAAGAGTCTCTTGTGAGATATACAGGCCTGGTCGTGACTCTTGGGAAAGCTGTCTGTCTATCTCAGGTGCCATCTGCTTCTCACCCAGATTGTTGATTTTGAGTGGGTCTGGATATTTTTAGTTTGAGATCTCTTGTGGTTGGGGATGTCCAGTCAGGAGAGGATGCCTTTTTTTTTTTTAAATAAGAACTGTGAACCCATGGGTCAACGACTTTAAGTTTAGCAGCCTGGGGGTTAGTTAACAAATGCTTGATGTGGCCCTTCCCAGTGAGGTTGGAGGGCATCCTTGTGTGGGTGACATTTCCAGGAAGCAAATGTCCAGGTGGGAGATCATGATGTTGAAGATGTTTGTCACCCAGAAGTGTGCTGGGAAAAGATTGCTGTATGAGCTCGGTATTAGTTTCAAGTACCTTGATAAGATCTTTGCAATAGATTAGTGGATTTCCTTTCAGTAGTAGGCCATCCTCATAGGTGTTCTGGTAATGATTTCAAAGGGAGATAATTAGTGTTTACCAAATAGAGTGGATCTGAGGTTAAATAATTTGAAGGGGAGGGCTTTAGACCAAAGCAGACTGAAAGACTCAGTAAGATTTGCCAGTTGGGGGGTCTTAATTATTCCATTTGTTTTTTCTACAGTGGCAGAGTATTGGGGATGATATGTGCAATGAAAATGTTGTAATATTGGCCAGATGTGGCAAATGGCCTATGATATTTGTTTTGTGAAATAGCTCCCTCAGTCACTGTGAGGTTCCGAGGGTATGCCTCAGTTTGGACTTATTTTCTCCAATAATATTTACCATGGAACTGAGGCCATAGTTCCATGACTAGGAAAGGCTCTTGCACAGTGAGAAAACATACAAGCCATTACTAGAACATATTTGTGTCCTTGAGATGGTGGCAGCTAGATAAAATTCAACTGCCATATTTCAAAGGGCCCAGAGGGTAAGAGATGTCTCTGTCATCAGAAGGTAAGGGTTTAGAAGGCAGGATTTAGAGAATGATAGTTTGAAATGATGACATTTGGGGGAGACAGCAAGAGGGTTTCATAAAAGGTTAATCTACTGGAGGACAGATGCTAAGTATAATGAATATCATTCTCATTATAATGGCATTTGCAGTGGGGGTTGCTTATTTTTATGACATACATTTTATTTTTTATTTTTTTATTTTTTTAAACTTTATTTATGTTGAGAGAGGTGGGAGAGGGAGAGGCAGAGAGAGAGGGAAAGAGAGAATCATAAGCAGGTAGGTGAAGCCTGACACGGGGGCTCAATCTCAAGAACCATGACATCATGACCTGAGCCGAAATCAAGAGTCAGATGCTTAATTGACTTAGCCGCCCAGGTGCCCCTATGACATACATTTTATTTTTTATTTATCAAAAAAAATTTTTAATGTTTATTTATTTTTGAGAGATAGAGCACAAGCAGGGGAGGGGCAGAGAGAGAGACAGAAGGAGACACAGAATCTGAAGCAGGCTCCAGGCTCTGAACTGTCAGCACAGAACCTGACACAGGCTCGAACCCACAAACTGCAAGACGCTTAACCAACTGAGGTACCCAGGCGCCTCTGTCATGCATTTTAAAATGATGACTGATAACATTGTATCAGGAAATAATCAGATTTCTAGGGATTTCACACAGTATTTGGAACACTGTACAGATGTTACATAAAGAAAGTTTAATATTATTTCTTATTTGACAATGCTTCCCATGTGATTTAACATATCAAATAAACCTAATAGGTCCTACGGAATTTTCCAGATCAAAAAGACTTCATTTAGAAGTTGATTTGGGGGAGTTTGTAAAAAATATCAAAACGTTTGGACACTTGACCCAATAGGATAACAGAAAATTATAAAACAATACTTCATTATCCATTTACCTAAATTATCAGGGACAAATACAGAAGATTACAGTTAGCTACAAAAGCCTTAGCTGGTCTTAACAGAGAAGAAGACTCAGCTTTCCCAAGTCATCAAAGACGTGATAAAGACAAAACATAGACTCTGTTTCCTAGGCAGATTACATTAAAAGTAAAGAAACTTTGGGTACAATCTCTTATGAAGGGCAGGCCAACAATCTGAGAAAATTTTGTCCTTTCAACAGAGAAAACCAAAATTTTGCACTAGTGTACTTTGGATGTCGAAACTGAAGTTTAGATACATTAATTTTAACCTTGGCCAGCTTGATTACACATGAAATTCCTTTTCCAAGACTTCTTTCCTATGAACCTTCTACAACTTTCTGTGTCTCTTTTAGTTTGTCTCTTTTTATTTCTCTTTCTGAAATAATCAGCTCTATGACAAAATCAGTTTCATTTCCCTCAACAAAATTCATTTCTTCCCCAAAAAGTGTGTTCTTTTACCAAAAACACACACTCTACTTTTCCTCTCTTACTTTCCATATACAGTCATTTTCTTACATCCTTGTTGAATTTTAGTAGCTTTACTTTCAAAAATACTAAATAGAATGTTTAACCCTTAGAATCTTAATTCCTAGTGAAAACTAAGAAACCATTGTGGACTGGCACATTTATAAAT